GACCCAATTTTAGAGTAACTCTAAATGGCGTTACCTTTTCCTGTCTGTATGATAGCACATAAACTGCTCTTTTTGTGCTTATAAATGAGTCGTAGCTAAGCCCAGCCTTTTTAGCAAGGACATTTAGCTGTGCTTCCTTCCCCAATGGTAGTCCAGGGAACTGGAACCAGCCAGAATTACTGATAAAATCATTTCTATCTGTGAAGAGAGAGAGAGAGAGAGAGAGAGAGAGAGAGAGAGAGAATGAAATGATTATTCAAAATGAATTAGGAGAAACTGACCATCATAAAGTTTATCATGTCCGGCAGCTTTTGGTTTACTAAAGAATACACAAATTGAACAATAAATTTTTTTTTGCTCCTCCCCCTTGACCACTCCTCTTTCATTACTTGTAAATTTGATCTTCGTCTTCATCATCAGACATATAAACCAGTCGTACGTGAGTTATCGGTATCACTCCTTTTACCGACGGGTTCTCAACCTTCTGAGCATAATACCAGCACAAGTCCTAACGATAATAATAATAACTATTAATTAACTGAGTCAATTAATTAGCAAGTCGTGAATATTAATGAGGCTTACGGCCATTGGCTTCATGAGAGTCATTTCTTCGTGAACTCTAAAACTCATATCCTACGGAAAAATTATAATAATTTATAATTTGCATTTCTAATTGTTATTACTGATTATAAATACATAATGCAAGTATATTGGAGATTTGGTAAATATAATATCCATACTAATAATTATGATCATTCATTCTTACTTGAACTTTCTCTGCACAGAAATTGGCAGTTGCTACGACAAGGGTTCCTGTAGCATACCTCTTGTGCCTCTCCCTCTCGTAAATCCTAATCATTTCCTGTCACATGACGACATTATTATAACTATTAATAACTATTAATAAGCCACGCCTACCCTCTCTTCCTCGGTCATTGATTTCTTAGCCTTTACAGGTATGATAGGAGCAGAAGCTGCTCCCCCTGGTCCCATCTTCTCATAACCTCCTATCTCATAATCTCTTATCTCACCGGGCGCGGCTTGTTTCGGTTTCGGAGGAAGAGCTGGAGGCTCGTCTAAAAATAGAACCA